AATTATCAATATTCTTTATTTGAATATTTGATTAATATTTTTTCTTTCAGGTCAAGGAGTTCTTAAAAGATGGACTAATCTTCGCGATTCATTTTCAAAATATTTCAAAAAAGACAAAGAGTCCAAGAGAAGTGGCTCAGGAGCAAAAAAAATAAAGAAATATGTATACTTTGATCAATTGCAGTTTTTACGAAAAATTTATGTTGAGCGACCGACTTCGAATAGCCTGGAACCGGACGCGAGAAACGACCCAGAAAATGAAAAAGATGACATAGAGCCACAACTGCAAGCTTCAAATAATGTTTCAGATATTTCTAGGGAAAAAATAATTAATCCACAAAAAGGAAGGAAAAATAAAAGTCAGAACGACATTGATTTAAGAATTATAAAATTACTTGAAGAAAAGGATCAACCTTGCAATAAAATGGCTTTTTTACAAAGTCTCTTGCCTCACTTGCAACAATTTGATAATCAGGACTATTTACAATTTCAAATGGGTGTTTTGAAAGTTATCGAAAATATCAATGAAAGTAAGAAAGAAAAACATTTTGCTACATCTTCTAATTTCGCACCTTATCAGCAACTTTATGTAAATACATCAAATCCTACTCAATATCATCCTCGACAATTATTCAACACTCCAAACCACTCCAATGTTTTCTTATCTCAGCCATATTCAACTGGAAATCATCAAATTCCATCATGCAGTAAACAACTGACTCCAATTACTACCAACCAAGAGGTCTCTTACATAGAACTTGAACAGAATAGCCCTTCTGTAAATTCAGTAGCATCCTCAATAACAGAAAGCATTGATTTTAGTACATTTTAATATATTACATTTTTTTTTTAAATTGACATGTAAAAAAACAATGTAACAGTCAAACATTTTTATTTTATTTTCTATTGTTATTTATAAAGTATTATCAGTTATATTATAATAATAAAGATGCGATTTTTTTTCTATTAAATTGTTTTTTCTTTTATTTTCTAGCGTATTTTTTATAAGTATTATCACTTTATCAGTTAACAGTATAATTATATTAAGTTAATTAATTACTAACCTCAATGTTATCGATAACATCTCAACTGGTTGTATACAATTTCTAAATTGCGTGTTTTCACGTTGAAGCTTATCCCTGAGTTTTCCATGTAATACATCAAAAGAAGCACATGACATACGGAAATAATTAAAAAACTTATTTTCATCATTTCGTAAGTCATTAAATAAAGTATAAAATAATCCCACTTCCTCTCTTCTAGCATTAATAGGATGTACCCAAAAAACACGATTTTTCTGTTGTCTTTTGCGGCGACGATTGTATAACCATAGTGCAATAATTTGTTTGTCGTTCATTGCAACAACGTGCGACTTGAGTGTTCTTATAAAACTAAACCTAGGTAAAGTATACTAAGCATAGGAAACCTGCATAAATCATGTTCTACCGTACGGTCAAAACCGTATAATGTGTAATGAGCCACTGATCCGGTTTATGCCGTCCGGTTTTTTGCCGTACGGTCAAAACCGTGTAGTGTGAAACGAGCCT